TGTTTGACGAAGTTATACAATTTGTGGTATGAGGCTGGTATCTTCCCGGAGACTTTTCTTGAGGCGGATATATTTTGCTTGAAAAAGTCCGGTGATCTATCCAACCCACTCAACTATCGTCCCCTGGCTCTGCTCAACTCTGACTACAAGATCTTTACTCGAATTTTGGCGACAAGAACGAGCTCGACCTTGGGCAGTGTCATCCATGAAAACCAAGCTGGATTCGTACCAGGTAGGCAACTACATGACACAATTGATTTGTTCTCGGCCGCGAAGGTGACAGCTGAAACGGATGACACACACCAGGAAGCGCTCGCTATGCTCCTCGACTTCGAGAAGGCTTATAACTCGCTGGCTCGCCTTTTCCTATTTCTCGTCTTAGTGTGGCTTGGTTATCCAGCTCGGTACATCGCGGCGCTGAATTTCTTCATCGCGGCACGACGGTCCGTTTCCTCGTCAACGGACTTCGGTCGAGACTGGTGGAAGTCACGAGTGGAATCCGGCAAGGCTGTCCGCTTGCTCCTATGCTTTTTATTATTGCGCTGGAACCATTATACCGATTAATTGAAGCGGTGGCAGGTATTAGTGGTATCACTTTATCCGCAGCCTGCGGCCGAGTTCTGCTGAACATTGCAGGATTTGCGGACGACACCACGGTTTACTTAGGATCTCCGTCTGAAGTCCCAATTCTGCTGGGCGTTACTTCACGATTTGGAAATGCCAGTGGCCTCCGGGTAAACGCGACTAAGACCGTGGTGATCGCTCTTCGACCAACCGGGGCCATCAGCGGCTCAACACTCCCTGAGCCGCTGCAATTTCTTCCAACAGAGCGATGCTGCCGCTATCTTGGGGCACAAGTTGGTGGCTCCGATGTTGTCGCGGCTGCCTGGACCAAAGCGGTGTCCCAACTCACTATCCGAATTCGTCTCGCTGAACTAAAGACGCTTACTCCTGATCAACGTGCAACGATTGCAGCGGTTGTGATTCTGCCCAAACTACTTCACGTCGCGCAGCATGCGCGGCCTACACTTGAGTGGGTGAGTGAACTCCAGCTTAAGATTTGGAACTTTGTATGGCACGGACACTTCGGCAGCTCCACGATTGCTGGAGCTCATTGGGTCAACCAGGATGTTGCGCTACTCCCACGAGCTGACGGGGGCCTTGCTGTTCCTGACCTAAAGGTGGAGCTCTTGGCTTTTGCAGCTACGGAGACGGTCCGATGGGCCGTAACGAGCTCCAAGACTATGAATGTTGTTGGTGACATACTATTTGCTGGAACTGCGGGACCTGGCGCGCCGACGGTATTCATCACTTGCGGTTATCGTGCTGGAGGCTTTGCTGGGTTACCTTTTCCTTCGACTGTCTGGACCGCTGGAAAAACTATGCTGAGAGTAGCTGGGACTGACAAGGCTGATACCCCCTCCCCTGTGCTTGCTTCAAGTATTGCACGTATGGTCAACCTTGTTACTCCCTCTTCCTCCTACGACTGGAGCGATGGCTCATGCCTGGTTGACACTACGCTGCTAAAAAGCCCAGCGATGAAGGCGCTGAGAGACTGGTGTCGTGAATCCAAAGGTGTGGCCCACATGGAGTGGTTACCATTCCAGGAGATCCGAGCCCTTCAACTCTGGGATGCGGACGGTGAGCGAGTCAATCTCGCGAAGGCCTTCCCACTCCTAGCTACTCCGTCCACGCTGCTTCGCGATGTCCTGGGCTGGCGGCATGTTGCCCCAGGCCACATTGGATTCCAGGTTCATTGTGGAGGAGAACCAGCCAAGGCAGCTTCCTCGGTACGACTGGCTCAACTGTCGCGTCTTATTGAGCTGCTGTTGGCCAACTTCCCGGATCTAATCCACGAACATGCGTCGTCACGGGAGCTGCGACTGAAGGCTGCCATGCCTGACCACCCCTATCTGGTTCAGCCTCCTAGTGCTGATTCACCGAGTCACGCTACAATCATCACGGTTGGGGATACATGCGCCACACACGTTGAGGCGCCGTCCACGGCAGGTCTTCTGGCTGCACTGCACAAACTGATTCCGTCATCCTCGGTGATATCGGCGATTGAACTTCACCCTACACTCGCTCGTCGCTGGGCTCGAGGGCGTCCGTCACCACTTTAAAGCGGTGGTAGCAGCTGCCGCGAGGGAAAAGGGGAAACTGGAGCTTCAACACCGCATGTGCGCTTGGGAACAAGAATCCTCGGCCTTCCATCTCTCGCTTGGCGCGCTTGAGTGGGGATCTATTCGCAAGGTGGTTGGACTTAACGCATGGGGGAGCGACTATTATATCGGCTCAAAGTGCGGGGCCTGAACTTGTTCGTCCGCAATACCGGCAAGCCTGGATGCCCCCACGCGGAGTGCCAGAACTCCAAGATCTCGCTTACTCACGTCTTTTGGGAGTGCCCCGCGGCTAGGAGTCTGTGGACGGAATTTATCAAGTCTTGGCGCGCGCTTCACTCAGTGGAGATCACCGATTCTCGTATGATCTTATCTTTTTAAGCTGGCTATCATCCCCCAGGGCTTCTTTGATCGGCTGGGTGAAGCGTTTCGCTGGTATCAGAAGGATATGAGGGACGACATCGCTCGGTTTATCCCTAACGCAGCAGCGAAGTGCTGGCGGCTCGGGGATCTGGAAATGGCGATCCGAGTATCTGAATCCAGATCCCAAGCCCCACGCTCATCGATTCCGTGCGCTGTTACGGGTGCGGCTACGTCAGAGCTACCTCACCATCGATGCGTCCTACGCAACGAATGTCAGCTCTTCTGCAGAGCGCCGGGCCGCTCGGATAGTTGTGAACGCGCTGGCCGCGAACTATGACCCACTTCCCATTCCTGTCGTTGCGGCTGATACGGTCTATGTGCTGTTCTTTGACGGGGGATCGCGTGGAAACCCAGGCCCAGGGAGTAGTGGGTCTGTAATTGTTCGGCTTGACCCTGGTGCGAGAGCTGGTGTGCCCGTATGGTTTGCGAGTATGGCGTATGGAGATATACGCACTACGAACAATACGGCTGAGTATCGTGGACTCCTACATGGCCTCAAATACGCGAACAAATGTGGGCTGAAGCCGCTACATGTTGTCGGCGACAGCATGATGATCATCAAACAATTGGACGGACGGCGACCGCCTCTTGCTGCGCATCTTGCGAGACTGTACTGGCACTGTCGGGTGCTAGCCGACTACTGTCGAGTGGAGACATGGACACACCACTACCGCACCTACAACTAAACTGCTGATGCCCTCGCCAGCATGGCGATGTATACACACGCGAGCAAGCAGCTGGCCGACACCGGGCGGGGTCTGCCGCCCGGGCACTGGGACATCGCCCTTCAAAACGTGAATCGTGATATCGGTGAGTGGCAAATTGGGAAGCCTCAGCTACTGGAACGAAGTGATAGGACTGGTCATCCTCCGGAGAGACGGCACAATCACAGCTAACAACGCGTATGGATGTTAGCTTCGGATATTGTTGATCGTTAGTACCTAGCTCTAAATGAACACAATATACCTCACCATGAAAATGAAATATATCATTACTATCAAGTCCAGACCCAGTACTATAGTAGTTTTATAGTAGTAGTAGTATCACTACTATCGCTACTACTATGCTGACTACTACCAAACCCTGATGTCGTCAAAGTGCTACAAATTAAAGTACTGAGGATAGATATCAAATATATATTTCAGATGGCATTATCGGATCTTACAGTACCCCGTTTAATTAGTGAACGGGAAGCTTCGTGGCACGTTTTATCCTAACCTTGGTATAGTGGAATTATAAAGGGATAGGAAGCAACGTTGGTGCTGCTATCGCAGACCAAATCGGATTATATCCGTGGTACATCAAGTCAAACGATGACCCCTCTTGACATCTAACTGGCACATTTCTACGACTTCGGTGCCGCACTGGGCCCTCCAAAAGGTTTATATGCGTGGGCAGATCGAACCGGTGTGCTACCGACGGTACTGATTTGAATCAGTACATATACTGAGCAGGGTACCGATAAACGAATTGAAGTAAAGAGAACGATTGAGGCGGACTGTAATAGCACTAGAGATAATCATTTGCATTTTCAAGTCGAAAATTGCTACAAGCAGCAAAATGATCTCAGCCAAGGTTCAGTGTTTAATTTTGTAAAGCATTGCCGGTTGATAACTAGTACCTACAGTTTTAAGGGGCGGCTGCGAAGCCGGCGCAGGAGATGACCGTAGCTAATATGAAAAATAATAAAAATAAAAAGAAGGGGTTTATACCAAAACTCTCCTGTACCAGCCTTCACGGAGCTAGTAATGGGATGGAGACCCCTGTGTGTACCACATATGTTGTGTGTTCTACACTAGAGGCCCAGTCTCACGTGCAACCTTGCGGGGCTCCGCATCGATTATTAGTTAACCAAAGGGTCTAAGAAGCGTGACACACTGACGGATCTCGAATTTATATATATAGATTATTATAAAAGTCGCACGACTAATTAGAGTGAAAGGTGCAGTTAACTCCAGTGGAGCTATCGGGTGTACCCCTGAGACTCCAAGGAGTCTATTTTATGAGCAACGCATTTCAGCTCCGAAAGTTGAAGTAGCTCGAGAAACTAAAGTTCTCTAATTCCTGTAGGTGGCTGAATCAAAATGAACAAACCAAGTTTTTCTCGGAAAAATATTTTTTCTTTCTCACACTTTTTAGTGTATTCCGTTCTTCCATTTTCTTCGGCCTGGACAGTGCGGGCTTCTGAGTCTTGGGCGTTTGAATTCAGCGGGTGAAAACTATAAGGACGGACGGGCGGAGTCTAGGTTCGACTTAAAAGCTTCGTCGACAAAGGGAGCTCCAAAGTCTGCCGCTGTCAGAGCGCTCCGCGCTGCTTCAGTCAACTGCTCCCACATAATGAGGTCCTGGAATTCTCCACGACCCCTATTCGTAGTCGTCATCAGGCCGCTAGCAATTTTACCCGGTATGTATCTGAGCATAGGAGTCGTGCCGTTGATACAGTCGACAAGAGCTGGTTCACACCACTCCGAGCTTCGTGTCTTATAGCAACGTGGTGGGCCGCTGATCGTTCTGATGTCGTATACCCCATTCACACCAATTGCAGATACAGCGAGTATCTCGGGCTTCACAATTGCAGGGTTGTCCAGCCACACGACCGCGGCATTCCATTTGTGTCGTTGGCCAAATTTCGATACGCTGTCCTTGGGGAAGTACCACGCGTACATGATGGCCCACATGCCCTTGTGCCAAGTAGCTCGGCCGTACACTTGCGACCCCAGCTCCGACCCCCTGCATTTACTCTCGGGTTTACCCTCCCCTTTGAGCCCTCTGCTCGTCTCGCCGGCGGCATTGACGGCAGGGTACGGGTGGCACGTTTCACGAATGGCGAGACTCGGCTTGAACTTGACGGCAACCTTCTCGGAGATGGTGACCGGCGCGGGTTGGGCAAATGGCTGCACCTTGTCGTGGACGATCGCGACAGCCCCGGCTGAACAGAAGCTTGTTACGGCAAGGATGATGAACAGCGGTGGTAGCAGGCCCATGGTCTAGTTGTTGTGCAGGCGAGGAATTGGAAACTGAGCGTCCAGAGAGTTTAGTTTACACATTGCGAGTTGCTGGACGGGACGGCAATATTGTATGCCATACAGTAGTGCCGTATATCCAGGGGTGAGGTGAGTTCGTGATCCTCGACTACGCGTAATCACCATGATCGAAGTTGGAGATCCGGACAACAGTACTGATCGCTTATTAGGGCAGAGAACTTAATATTGGGAAGTTGACACTGTACTGTAGGTTCCTCACGCCTGAAACAAACCAAACCACCCAAAGTGCGAACTTAAGGTTCGAGTGAAAACTGCGCGACCTTTGAACCATATTTCCGTCGGATATTAGTTTATTACTGGGATCGTGCAATTCCGAACCAACTGCGGTGGTTTTGGGCGGATTGGTTTCGTGGCCGCTTCTGTTTCCAAGGATCATCTCAGTGGGGCTAAGCAATAGTGTATTGCCTCGTTGCCTGGGAGTGGCGTGGAGGGTTAGCTTGGGACTAAATCTAAGGATGAGCAGGCCTGAAGGCCCCCTCTACCTGTCGCCTAGTCGTTGTCGGCACGAACTACCGCTCCCCTCGAAGATCCGGAAAAACAGATTCCCGTCGCCTGCGTCGCCGAGTAATCAATCATTGGTTCTTCGAACTTCGGGCTTTATGGTCGGTCAAAACAGATGGATAGTGGCTGCTTGCACCGGGCAGCCAGTAAGAGATCTTGAGATGTGCTTAGAGCTACAGCTGGTGATTTGACGTTCAACACTCCAAAATCATTTGCGAAAAGGACGAGAAGGAGGCAAGCTGACGTCGGCAGGTCGAAATGCAAGCCCCTGCTAACTTGGAGAGGGTGTGCGTGTGTGCTAAGATCATGGTATCATTTGCGTGTTAGCTGGGGGGGGCCAACATACGGAAATGTTCTCGACAAAAAACAGAGTGTCAGCCTATTCTTTTACCGTGCACCGACTGGAGCTGACCCGGTGCAAGTATCCTCTGTCAAACAGATGAACTATCTTTCGCAAAAAGCCGCATGCCTCACAAGGCCTGAGTGAACCTGGGGATGAGTCGCGCCCGACAGGCCGACATGGCTGGTGTCGGGCAATAACATCGGCGTTGGGTCGTACATACACTAACGTCGTTGCACTTGAGGGAATACACAATTCGTTTTTCTTTGTCTCTTTCTCGTATTCCACTCGCTTGCGCAGACACGCCCCTGCCTAATCGCCGATTAGGCAGGTAGGTATTTGCGGCGAATGCACGGAGCGCGCGCCAGGATGCCACCCACCCTCGTGAAAACAGTAAGGCAAATCGCACTAAACGTCTTAAACGTTGTATTGAAAAGCACGACCTGTACTACCAACCCGAATGCGATAATTCATTATTTTTGATCTGAGTATTCGGACTACTCAACACGCTTAGCCATACACTACCTCTGCATTGTGTGCACTTTAATGTGGATCATACATCCGCTTAAACCGCGAACACCCAAAGAATGAGGGCGTGGCCCCAGCAGATCAGTTTCGTGACTTAACGCGTAACTCGGCTTGGCTTAAGCTTTGTGTTCTCCAGCCAGCAGATTGTCGACTCAGCAGCCTCAACGAAAAGTTTCAGTTGTCGGTAGCTCGGCGAAGTGCATATCACCATTCAAACTCCACGCGCCAGCTTCAGCAAGTGAATTGCGGCACACGCGATACTCATGGGTGTGGTCCCGCAAGGGCACGTCCTCGTCACGGCAATTAGCACTATTATAGTACCAACACCAATATGTAGCAGCACTTTTAGTTGTAGGTGTTTCCAGCCAAGTCGAAGGCGACCTAGTTGACAATGCTATGCGACATTCGCACGCGAGTAGTCAGCAAGCGCTTGATTTAGACCAATCCGATGCTAGAGGTTTGTTTTGGTTTGGTTTGCTTTCGGTTGGTTCGAACCACTTCAAACCAAACCGTGAAACCGTAATGAACCTGGTTTGCTGGTAATTTTGGTTTGGTTTGAACTACCGTATAGTCTTAGTCCTTGGCGACGTTTAGTCGTTGGCGACAACTACATCTAGCCATTGCGATTGGTCAGTACTTTTCATATGGGATCGGTTATTTTTACGCGCCATTGGTTCTAAAAGAGCAGTATCGCATTAAGCTTCAGCGCGGGAAGGAAGCATGGGTCGACCGTGCATCACAGGCTCCAGTAAGCGCCGAAAGCAATACAAACGAGTTGCCGTGGCCTACGGCGACAAGCGAGACGTCCTCAAGTTTCTCAACAAGGGCAACTTCATCAAGGCCACCATTCTGCACTTCTACGGGCAGCTCACACGAAAAGACCACAGAGCAAAAGAAAAGCAGATCAGCAAATGGAAAAAGGCCTCCGCTTCAATACAGTCAGCGTGTGCATCTGGGCGAGCACGCCATCTTAACTCTCGGAAGCTCGGAGACGGCACCGTCTTGAGCCTCGAGGCAGAAGAAGAGATCGTCCGGTGGATCAACACATTTAGGAAGGAAGGAATTCCTGTGTCCCGGTTCATGCTGAAAACAAAGGCAATGGAAGTGGCTAAGGAATCTGATATTGCTCCCGACAAGTTCTCCGCCTCCTCAACTTGGATGAAGCTGTTCATGAGGCGACCCAGACTGTCGTTGCGCACAAGAACGCATCAAGGCCAAACCACTCCTCAAGACGCGGCTGAGGCTGCCCAAGCATTTCGCGCCTTGGTACTTCAAACTGCTGTCGAACAAAACTGCACCAAAATATTCAACGCAGACAAAACAGGTGCGAAAATGTTTTATTTCTTATTATGATTTAATGCTAGACGTCTAACATACTTTCTAGCTGTATTTTTTGAATACGTGCCGAAGAAAACTATCTCAGCAAAGGGCACGAAGACGGTTTGGATCAAATGCGCTAATAAAGACAAACATCGTGCAACTATTATGCTTTTAGCAGATTCGGATAGTGTAAAGTGCGACCCATTCATTATATTCAAGATGTCAGACGCCAAGACGGAAGCAAGACGCGCTGAGAACGGTGAGATCAGAAATGGGTTCGGTACAACCATTTAGCGTGAAGTGAAAACCCTGCAGAAAACGTTTCCCTGTCGGATCTTTGGAAACAAAACTGCGTGGTGGAACGCGGATTTATCTCTAAAGTTTTGAAGTATCATTTTGCCAACCGTGAGAACCCGGACGACAAGCTCTTGCTGTTGTGGGACGATTTTAGCGCGCATTGGACGAAGGAGGTAAAAGATTATGCTGCCTCGCTCAACGTTGTCCTACTGAAGGTGCCGCCAAGGTATACGTATGTCTGTCAACCGGCAGATATTTCGTGGAATAAACCTTTTAAAAGTTTACTACGATCGCTTTGGATTGAAACACTGCGCGAACAACTTAGGAAGTACAACAGTGGAGAAAAGGCCCGACAACAAAAAAGGAGCAAGCTCGCTGCAGATATTCTAAGCACACGCACGCATTATGATCAGCAGGAAGCCGATCGCAGAGTCGCCATTCTCCGGGACGAATTTAAAGAGAAGCCTTTCGCTTTGGTCGGGCCGTCGCGGCGGGACATCACCAAATGGATCATGTCAAGTTGGGACGGGTTATCACGTGAACCAATCGTCGGAAGTGGGTCATTCAATGCGGTGACCAGACGATGCTCGACACGGTCGCATCCAAGTTCAAGCAAACGCCGCCGAGCCTCCTCCAGCCCGTTATCGAGTCGTTCTCGCAGCATCTCGGTACTCTCCCTGCTTCGGACGACAGATTTGTGGCGCTTTCTGCAATTGCTAACAAGAGAATCGAATGGTTGAATATCCAGCTCCAAGCGTTGGGTAAACCGTTCTCTTGGGAGATGCCGGACGCTTCCTTTCCCGACAACGCGAGAATTCAAGCATTTTTACGAGGCCCTGAGAGCTCAATGGATACCAACGGAGTTCGTCACTTCAACGGAGTTGGCCATGCCCGCAACTACGCCGAAACGTGGATGCGTGAGAAGCAGGTGAACGCTTCGTTCACCTTGGAAGCTGAAGGCCGAGGCGGAAGTGCGTATGTGGTCATTACGAAGACTCGAGCGTGGTTGTCTGAGCACCAAAAGGAACTGTTGAAGCACAAGACGGAGCTGGCCCTGCTTTCGGCAAGGTTTGGAGCTGCCGAAGGTGCTGCAAGCGGTGGTGCCAGAAAACGAGCACGACACGAGTAAACACCGTGGACAGCCGACACATCTGCAGGTATTGGAGATCGGCTTTTCCGTACTAGTCCACTGATGCATTTTCACGAGTTATTTGACACATCAAGCGTTGCT